AGGCAAGGACGGCCCAGTTTCGTTATGGCTGAAGTTGGCAAGGTTAATAATGCTTAAATATATAAAAGTTTGTTCTTTTACAAGTGATGAACCGAAGACAAATAAGGAGAGAAAAAATAGCAAAATGCTATAAGATGAAAAATAAAATGAAAGTAAAAGGCTTCATTATGCAAACAAATGAAAGTACATTGCCACTTTTTTCATTTAGCAGGTAAATAATGCATTTAAAAATAATAATAATAATAATAATAATAATAATAATAATAATAATAATAACAACAACATATATAAGCAAGAAACAAATTTTGACCAATTTCATCAAACAACTACTATTCATTAAAGCAAACACCAATAATTTACGGGAAACCATTGTAAGTTGTTTTGTATATATAGTTGGTATTGCTATAATCAAATATACTATTAAAGTTATAGAAAAAGATTTAGGAATTTTGCAACTGCATGGATTTTTAATTTGGGAATTTGTTGGAATATAAGTAGTGAGAAATTAGCTTAATTTTCAAAAGTATGTTGTCCTAATGAAAATGAAGACCGAAACAATATTAAAAATAAAATGATGACAGTCCTCGACAAACCTAAAAGTTGGACTTCCAGTCGAGTTCTCGAGTTCTGGGAGTTGCATTACCAACACCACCAGGGGTAATGGCTCCTTGTCTATCCAAGCTTGAATTAGAATGCATGTTGTACAAGTTCTTATACCATTTTTAGCACCTAGTAAAAAAAATAAGTAAATGAAAATTCAACCATTTTGGCAATAATAAATTCAAGGCTAAGTACAAGAAATAGCAATGTGTTTTCATTTATTTGTATATATAGATTCAACATCTTGCTTTCATACCTTTATGTTACAGCATTGTACTTTTTTTTGGCTTATCATAACATTGGCGTGTTGTACTTAAAATATACCCAAATATCACATTCTACTTCCAATTTTATTTTTATTAGGACATTATACTACGGAAAATCTAAAGTTAAATGCAAGAAATAGAAAAAAAAATTTAATGATTTGCTTATTACAGCATCCTACTTCTAGGATTGTATTTTGATAAATCTATCAAATCATAGCAACATTGTCCATAGTCCATACACAAGGTAGATTTTCTGAAGTATAATGTTCAAATGAGAAAAAAAATTGAAAGTGCAATGCAATATTTGTGTAGCTTTTGCATAGTAGTGCAAACCTGGATGTTTACGACATCGTACTTCGAAAACTTTGGCCAATATTACATGGTAGTGAAATTGGACTACATTGATTTAATTAGATAGTTTTTCAAAATGATGCTACATAGTATATGTTTCTTCTCACCAAGCCATTCATGAACATTTATACAGACTTCGCCATTCATTTAGCTGTTGTAACAAGAACAATAAATAACATCTAATTTACCATCAGAAGTAATTAAAAAATAATGTTGATTATGACAATGACATGTAAAACCAACCTACATATTACACACTTTGAAGTCGGTCATCATAATATAACATACACACATCCACGTTGCTTTGAGTCATCTTTCACTTTTGTATCAACTAAATTATGAGAAAATAAATCTTTTAATTAACACTAACAAAATAACGAATACAAATATATATGCAAATTATTTAAAAAAAATTACAAATGTGAAATTATTTAAGAAAATTAATAATAACACCAAACCATTAGTTTTCAATATTCGAGTTAAATAATCACAAATTATACTAGAACTATGAATAATGAATGCAACTAACATAATTAATAATTTTTTTTATTCGGATAAAAGGAAGACTAAACCAGTTAGAAACACATACACCTACTTGAAACGGAAACCAATCATAGGATTTTCATGGAAACATAAGAAATACACTTTCAAACAATACCTCCATTATTCAGAACCACAACTCATGAATTTAGGTCTGAAAATATACAGACTTATATCATGTAATAAATTCATTTATTTTATTTGGATACATTGATTTTCAAATGAAAAAAAACATGGGATTTTCTGAAATACAAAATGCCAAAATAAAAAATGAGACAGATCGAAAAGGATGTTGCAATGTTCAATATATTCGTCACAAGTGTGAAAAATCCTCAATTTCAACAAGAAAACGTCAACTTTCCATAACAAGTGGAGGAGAATATAATTTCTACTTTTGGGCAAAGCAACAGACCGCTTACCTTGATGCAGAGAAAATCAAAATAATACAAGAAAACAGACGACTGTAATCAAAAGAAAGAGATTTTAATTCATGACCAACTATTTATAATCAACCATTATAAGGAACGATGAACAAAATGTTTTGCTGCAACTTTCCTAGTCTTCTTCCTTTGCCATGGGTTTTCTAGAAAGAAACAGGACTGTCTATTGAGAAAATGAGTGCGACATCGTTGGTATCAATTATCAAATTCTACTGTGAATAAAGTGGTGGCGAAAACATGGCAAGGGAATGGTGGAAGTATTGGTTGAAGAGGCGATCGGATACGCCAGCTGGTGATGGCTGGGAAGTGAAACTGACAACTGCCAATAGTTGGAAGATAAACGGACGGCTGCCATTTTGTTAGTGAAATTGAAAAACTATTAGACTATAGAGACCAACATTGTACCTTTTGTTGTAATATAATATTATTATTTACAAGATAGTGAGATTTGCCACCTGTTTATTCTACATTTTACGTATGAATATGGAATTCCAATAAATAAATAAGAGAAAATGTGAAGAAAAAAATATGAGCCGTAAAAATACATAGCCCAAAAAGAATACGGAAACTACAACAATTAAGGAGTCCAATAGTAAGCGGCCCAACAAATCCGATCCAATGACGTGGCATATTTTAAGAAAACCAAAGGTTTTCTTTAATATATATTAGGTGTGAGACCCGTGTATTACACGGATTGATTTAAAAAAAAATTAAACATTAAATTAAAGTATAAACAGAAAATATTTTTTAATGTACAACCGATATCCTCTACCCCGAATCGATGACCTTTTTAATGTACAAGTGTCAAAACTAATGAGAGATTGACATGTAGCAAAAAACTTTCATTTATTAAAGAGGATATATATATATATATATATATATATATATATATATATATATATATTGCTAAAAAAGTCAAAAATTGCTAAAAAAGTAAAAAATGTCTAAACTGAAAGAATTAACCAAATTCTTGGGTTTTTTATTAAAAAAAAGTACATTTTTTATAATTTTTTTCAAAATAATAAAGACTTTACTGGAAAAAAAAAATATAAAATTTTAAAACTATACTTATTTATTGAATAAACTACTGTTATTTTGATAAATGAAAATTTAAAAAACACTCTTAAGGTCAAAAATCCATATATGGGATTAATTTTTCATCATTGACTTCTTTACGAAAGAAGAAAATATTATTAATTACTTGGCATTTATTGCCAAATCCGGATATTTACTTCTCAATTTTTATTCAAGTCCCAATATTTAATTCTCAACTTCCACTATATCATAAATTCGGAACAAACCCAACAAACAAACATATAAAATCCATAGAAAGCTCGTAGTATTTGTATTTGTTAAATTTTAGCTTTCTAAAACCAATACATTCATTCTGTTGATTTTCATTTGAAGCATTGTGAAGGATAGTTTTAAAACTAGGTTTTGCTTGGTTTTGATCACAAGACCAAAAACGAAGGAAACGCGCACAAATTTGTGTGCCATAATTCATATAAACACAAATAATAATGGAGTCTAGTTATTGTCGTGATATAACTCCAATCCTTACCGTTTTTCTTTTGTTTTTCTTGTTATTTTCTCCGGTTTTTCCAGCGACAGATTTAAAAGATTTTAGACACATAAACACAACCTTCCAACCAAATAAGCAGTTGACAAAAGCTACTATGAAGACAATTAAGGTAACTCTTTCATTTTATTTGATTTTCTTTACAAAAACAATTATTTCATATATTTGTGTTTATTATTGATATTCATTGTATAAACTAACCTGAATGTTTTTTTGTTAACTCAGAGCCCAGATGGTGATATAATAGATTGTGTTTTGATCCATTTTCAGCCGGCGTTTAATAATCCTATGCTGAAAGTAACAAAGCCATTGGTATATTTAATGTGTTATTTATAAACAGGCTTAAGCCCTTATTTATATTGTATTCGATTCAAGATTCATTTGAGACAAACTTATTTTTGTGAAAGAAAAGAAACTACATTTATGGTCACACAAAGAAAAAATGAAAAAAAAAAATTATTAAAAAATTTTGTCATTTGTACTTTAAAAAAAAATCTTCGTTCTAATAGTTATTATGATAGAATAAAAATGACATTATTGATAAATACATTTTTTTCAGTTTTTTCAATATTTTACATTTCTTGACACCCGAAATATAGAATTGCATCCTCATGTTATGTTTTGCAAAATATGTTTGTCACATGAATTCTATCATATATATACACACACATACATGCATGTATAAGTGTATATATATAT